TTTTCATTTAAAAAATAGGAAATAGGTCAGAAACCCATTTCCTATTTGCAACGTCAAATGGGAAAACAAACTAACGGTATGTACCATGATTGATAAACCTCACTCATGGCTGTTACGTGCAGGACAGGGATATATGAGTGAAACATAAACAATATATACAAATGATAACAGCTGGTGCACATCACAAGATCTCGCACGCCGGGTGTAAAAATTGGGTCAAAATCCGGCATAATTTCGAAAGTTCTCGACTTGATTAGAGATTCCTATTCGTAGTTAGTTGTTGCAGAGAAATATCCTCAACAAATGTAACTGAATTATGCCGGTACAATTAGTTACTTTTTATAGAATAGAACTTTTTTTGAAGCAAAAGCAAACACCATTATTTATTCAAACACCATTTATCATTAGAAAGAGTGAATTATTTAGAAGAATTTTTGAATATTTTAATAATAATAATAGTGCTGCTAATGGAGAAACAATGTAGTGTTAATGAAAAAAACAAATGAACAAAAAATCACCAACAAATACAAAATATAAAAATTGAATAAAGTTAAACATTTCAACAGCAAGACCCACGGGACAAGTAGTTTTTGAAACTACACAATTTCGTGTAATTATCTACTTTAAACTTAATGAATTTGAAAACGTCTTAATTAAAGATTACGTGTTAGCATATTCTTGTAATGCCATAACTTATGCATTAGCATGTGCCCGTGTGTACCACCTATTACGGATACAGTTCGGCTAATGGCATATGCCTACATCTGACACACACTCCTCTCTCCCTCTCTCTCTCTCTCTCTCTCTCTCCCTACACGTGTTACTATGGAATTTCACTCACGCTAAAGCACGAATTATAAAGTAACAACACACGTCGCACAGTTATATAGTCAGAAGAGATCTTTTATAATTAATATAACGTACGAAATCACAACGGATATCTATCGAATAATTAGGCATTGAACATTTATCGTTGGTCTTGCTGCCTCCGCGTTCTGTCTCCTCTCCCTAGGACGAAGTTCAATCACCTTCGCACGAGTTCCCACTTGGTTCACATCCCCACTGTCACTCCAGTCGCTCCCATGATCTTCTGTAAACGTTCTCATGTGTTGAACTCACACTCCTGTGGTCACATTGATAATCACGGGTGTTTCACTCAGCTCACTCTACTTTCCCTAGTCAGGATGACAAAGATCCCCAGAGAGTCATCCATCACATTACGTGCATTTCCGCATGCATTATTAACAGATTATTGATCAGGATTTGCCAAGTAAAATCTCTGCTGCGCCACGGGGCGCTTTTTTTCGGCCAGCCATTTTAGTTCATTAGCACGTTAATTAATTATGCTGCACCTGACGTTAGCGACTTCTCGATGCGCTCATCGCAGCTGTAAAACATCAAGGAGATGCTGGCAGGTGACGCTGGCGATCTGAAAATACTTTCTTGCGGGGCTTCCGATTGTTGCTTCGCGATGAATAAAGCATGCGTGCCACGCTCGCTTTCGTGTTGAGATTTACGACGGGAGAGACTGCGCCACCTTTCAATCGGACAACCACTACACGAAATACGCACATCACCGGTGATCAGAAAATGGTACAGGCGATAAGGAAAACTTAAGCAGGGAGTGGAGAATAACCCGTGGGGGCAGAGAATGACGACAAATTTACATGAAGAATGATAATTTAATGAGAACTTCCCACAAATGAGAAAAACAAACGGTACGTGGAAATAAACGAAACTTACAAGTTACACGTAAACTTATGTGAAAACTTACACGTGTTGAATGACAAAATGTTACATGTAGTGAATGACAAAATTTTACATGTATGGCATAATGAAAATCTTAATGAAAACTTACATGTAGGGAATAATGAAAACTTACATGTGGGGAATGATGAAAAACTTACATGTAGGGAATAATGAAAACTTACATGTGGGGAATGATGAAAAACGTACATGTAGGGAATGATGAAAACTTACAGTTACATGTGGGGAATAATGAAAACTTACATGTAGGGAATAATGGAAACTTACATGTGGGGAATGATAAAAAACTTACATGTAGGGAATGACAAAATCTTACATGCAAAGAGCGATGAATACTAACACGTGGCAAATAACGAAATCTTACACGTAGGGAATGATGACAACTTACAAGGGAGCCTGCCCGTAGCAGCAGGAGCATAAGCAGCAGCCTTCTTGACACGCCGGCTGCTCAAACTCTGTGTGTAAGCATGCACTGGCACAGCTAACCACCGTACACGTACGTGCCACGAACGCAGGCAGGCAGGCTGCCATCTGCTCAGTACCAGAGCTATAAATGCCAGAAACTGGATACACATCGGAGATTATCCGCGCGATCTATCTGTGCTGTGAAGCTGCTGCGGCTCTGCTACACCGACTCCTACGGCTTCTTCACGGTGTTGGAAGACACTTGTTTGTTTGGCTCGTACAAGTGGCGCTTGAAATGCAAGCCTATAGCGAGGCCTGCGGTGTTACAACGCGGCGCCGCGGGGAAACGTAGATCCGAGAATCATGCACAAACACGCGTCTTGGCATCTCTACAAAAAGTCTCAGTTGCACAAACCTGTGCACGTGTGAAAAGTCCCGGAAGATCGTGTAATGAAATCTGCCTGCGAGAACTCATGTGGTCTCATAGATGGAAAACTAAAGAATCTCGGGAGCAGCATTGATTTCGTTCAGGAAGAGAATTACGAATTACCTTACTAGTGTATAAACTAAAAGCTATATCACCTAAATTAAGGCTGCTAGACATTGTTACCATTAGTTATGTATATAGAACTCTGCAGGAGTGCAACAGACGGCTTTGGCTTCACCATATTGTGGCTTTCACCACAGGTTCTCATTATGAGGATTAATATTCAAATATAAATTTATAAATTTACTGGTTTATTGGTTAGAATATAAAGTAATTTCTATTTCATTAATGCTAGCCTTAGAGATATGGATATCACTGTGTGTGTGCAAATTTGTATGTTGGCTATGTAACAATGCTGGAATAGAAAAGCGTAACGACGTATGAGTTTTACCACTCGGCAACCATATGCATAGTACTATAGCCGCAGGCAACTGTACGCGGGCTATAGTACTAGAGCTATCATAATATGCACTAATCAGATTTGAGCTACTAAAATTAATTTATACGCTGTGGCTATATGCCCGGCAGGCGGGCACGGTCTTCGATTTCCTAAATGCCCGGCAGTTCCTAACCCTAACCCTAGTCCGAGATTCCTCTGACCAATGCCCACACCGACGATTTTGGTGGTTTTGGTGTGGGTTGAGCCAAAATCGTCGGTGTGGGCATTGGTCAGAGGAATCTCGGACTACCCTAACCCTAACTCTGACCCTAATCCTGACCCTAATTCTAACCCTAACCCTAATCCTGACCCTAATCCTAACCCTTGTTTACTTGAGATAACGCTAAAAATTACAAACTGCCGGGCATTTAGGAAATCGAAGACCGTGCCCGGCAGCCGTCAGATATATGCCGACTGCCGGGCATATAGCCACTCTGTATTCCTGTAATTCGTATTCGCTGTGGCACTGTGCTAGTAAAATGCTGTAGGCCTACTGTAAAATGCATAACCAAAAAGATTGTCTACTCTGCCCTTACCAACGCACTTCTCGAAATTAGTCACAGAAAGACTTGCATCTCCAGGGGTGGCTGCCGTCGAAAGCCGTGAAGGTTCTGAGGCTGAACTAAAGACGCATGCTACCAGTACCAAGTTCAAAACTCGAAACCCATGTCGAATCGCCGATGTAAACAAACGCAAGCAGAGCAGTGCAATGGCTCCACCTACCCGTAAGAAACTCAAGCATTCCCATTTTCACAATCACACAAGCTTGGAAGATGCAGATACTTATTTAATAATAACTTATGCATAAGTAAGTCTTATAATGTAGTGAGATTTATATTAGTTATTTAACATGGGCATTTTTAACATGCAAATGCTAAATATCTGCTCAAGTTATGACCCGTGTAAGAATCTGGCGATGACTAATTTTGCGACATAATAATAATAGAGCATCTAAGTCACCACTGGGAACTTTATGATTTATCAAGTTGTTTGTAAACCTGTGTAATTAGTTGCATCTGATATTATATATTTTTTATAATGCATGATGCTTACGAGGCAGTGGCAATTCTTGAAAAGCTTCCATTGCAGATAGAATCAATTGCCAGTTATGGTAAATATTAAATTCATTTGACTATTTTGAAGTAGGCTCTACTGACACTCTGACGCTCATAGGGTCGGTTCAAGGATAGACTCGAGTCATAGAGAACATGGGTCCCAATAAAACCAATGTCATTTACATCAATATAAATATAATATTATATCAATATAATAGGTTAGGGTTATTGTTAGGTTAGGGTTAGGCAGATAGGCACATGGTTTATTGACCATGTTCTCTATCTTGGGCCCAGTCTATGTCCCCCAGGGTACTGCCGGAACTGTACGCGCTGGTCACTATTTGATATGGTTAGGGTTGGATTAGGGTTAGGATTGGGTTAGGGTTAGGGAGTAGGCGTAGGCGACTCCCTAGACTCGTTAGTGGAGTAGGCGAGGTACGGTACGGCATATTAGAGTAGTACCGGGCTACGTTCCGGTATATCCGGGACGGCGTACCCAGGGTACGTTCCGGCCAGTACCGGGGGACATAGACCCTCTCAGCCCTATTGACGGCTTATAGGGTCTATGTCCCCAGGGTACTGCCGGAACGTACCCTGGGTACGGTCCGGTATACCGGACGCGTACCCTGGTCACATTTTGATATGGTTAGGGTTAGGATTAGGTTAGGGTTAGGGTTTGGTTGGGAGTAGGCGTAGGTGACTCCCTAGACTCGTTAGTGAAGTATAGTGCGAGGTATCGGTGCCCGGGATATTAGATAGTACCAGGGTACGTTCCGGCAGTACCCCGGTGGACATAGACCCTCTCAGCCCTACTGACTTCCCGCAGTTGCACTTGTAGTTACAATACACCCGTTGACAGTTTAACACTGCGCATGCGCTTAGCCTAAGGTCAAAGGTCGGGAGGAGTTTTCGTCCCAGAAAGCGCGAGTAAAATGCGCGAACAATGGCGTTAACGTGTAGTGTGAAGGGCTGCTCAAACGGATCGTATTGGCTTAAGAAAGACTTTTAGAGCATGCATTGACCATAATTTAAATGTATCAAGTGTCATGTCACTCAGGTCATCCATTATCGGTGCTCTATTCCCTGCTACGTGCACTGTTCTTCGACACAAAGGTGAGCGACCTGCGTATGCAAGGCAGATAAATCATCGAGATAAACAATATGGCGGAGTTTACTCGCACATCCGGGCTCTCGCGGAGATGCGAAACTACTGGCGCAGAACATAGGCGCAGAACTGTCAATGGGTGTATACTCGCTACCACCATGCTAACATTGCTACCAGTACCAATTAAAGTGATTACGTCACCGTAAATAGTAAAAAAAAAAAATCAACTTTTTCTCAACATATAAGCAGGGTCTCCAACCATTCCGCATTCTGCGGAATCATTACGATTTCTAGGCTTAATTTCCGCATTCCGCAGCGGCAAGGTTATATTCCTCATTTCAGTTGCACTGTATAAAATCTGCACTGATTGTTCGCATTGTTCGCTTGGACACATTGTTTTTTTTTCAGCCGGTGCCTGGCACTGGCCACGCGCTGGTGCAGTAGAGATGCAGCAAGTTTATTAATAGCCATCACTGCGCGAGTCGTTTCTTGGAAATGCACGCTCTGCCATTACCTTAGTTTTGCACCTAATCAGATTAACACGTGGGGAGAATGGCGTCCAATTGCCATTGCCATCCAAAAAACCCGACTTTTACAGAAATTCAGGAACGAATATACACAGATGTGGCCTGTACTTGTGAAGTCAAAACTCAGTGTTAATCATGGCTATTGCATGGTATGCAAGACAGACTTTCAAGTAGGGCACGGAGGAAGGAGGGACTGCCAGAGGGACTGCCAATATTTCAAAATTTTCTGGGGGGCATGCCCCCAGACCCCCCTGGCACTGGCATGCCTACGGCACGCGGGCCTGCCTGCGGCAGCCAAGGTTAATTTCGCCCCCCCCCCTGTCCATCAATTTCATTCCGCATTTGGAGTTCACAGGGTTGGAGACCCTGTATAAGTGATTCTGTTCACTTTTTATGGTTAAATTGCTGCATTATACTTCTTATTTTACTATATTGTTTGATGTGAACGTACACTCGTAACTCATACATAGCCCATAGCAAGCAATTAATGTTATGAACACTAATATCTAATCGTCCAGGTTTTTTGGATTTTTAGCTAGTTGAGAAACAATCTTATCAGGTAAGAATTTGACGATACGTTTAGTTCCTTTAGTTCTTACTTTTAATGTAAAAAAATGGCAACAAAAATTTTACAAATTTTACTATAGAAAATTCGTGACGTAGTCACTTTAAGTTCTACGCCTACCTACCTCTTCTCCACCTCGTACTAAGCTGGAGTAGTCTGAGAAGAGTATAGTAGGCGCAGAAGGATAATGGCCAATGTTTTGTGACAACAGACTAGGTCTTGAAACAAAATTTTCAATGACATTGTCCCAACAGGCTGGTGTTGTTACTATGTTAGATTAATTATAGGCACCTACTGCAAGTAATTTTGCATTCTATCGCAATTTGTGTTTGTGTGAGGCCTTTCGTGAAAGGCCAACTCTAAATATTAAATAACCATAATTGTTAACCACCATTATACAACTTTCTTTTAGAAAACAATTTGTTGGTTGGAACGAAGCAAGGGCATCTCCTGATGTACTGCATAACACCTCATCAAGGTTAGTTCAGTAAGATCATACAACTAAGTACATGTAAGTAACTTTTACAAGTGGCATTTCGAATCACCTTTTTAATTGTACTACCGTACTAGTACTAATATTTAAGTTATAATTTCATGCTATTATATACTTCACTGGGAACCTTATACATACATGGTGATATTGAGTGTCGTAATATCATACAGGGTATTTTAAGAGAGAAATTCACCATTTTCCCCGTTAAGGTTAAAAGAAACGGTACTTTTATCAATTGTGTTATTCGGTAACTGTGAGGATTAGGGATAGGGTAAGGGTTATGGACTGCGTGTGATGTATGGCTGTAAACGCAGGCATGTATAATCAGCAATCTGTTTATTCCAGGTGATCAAAAGTTTGAAGTCCGACTCCTCCGTTCTAACAAACATTTCTCAAAACGTCCGATAATCCAGATGGAGGTTGTTCCCGAACTACAGATCCTTATAAGTCTTTCAGGTCTGCACCATTCTGCAACTCTAAACTGTATATTTAGACACTGAGATTACTCGTAGCTTTCAATTCCTACTTCTATTAAATTTCTGACAACCATAATATTAAATCACCCTTATTCTGAATAAAATAGAGGTTAAGGTTAAAATATGTTTCTGCTTTCAATCATTGTATCCCTCAGTAAATAATCTAATAAGAGACCACCATATCTCAGGGGTAGAAATTAACTTTTGAACACGGGAGTCCAACAGGCTCCCTACTCTCAAAAAGAGGGAGTCCGCAGCAAAATGAGGGAGTCCGCAGCAAAATGAGGGAGTCCGCAGCAAAATGAGGGAGTCCGCAGTCTGAGGTTCAAAATTAAAGATATTAACAATAACGCATGTGCTTATTTTTAAGATGCATGCGGTTGCACGTCTGCCAAATTTTCTTTGGATATTAGCTGAAAAAATACGGTAATTCCTTGAGGCCGTGCTCCGGAACGAACTAGTTAGTATGGCAGAATTTTCAGGAAGTCACACGGACTCCTGCATATGTCAAATCAGGGAGTCCAACAGTAAATCAGGGAGTCCAACAGTAAATCAGGGAGTATTTGACTCCGGACCGTTAATTTCGCACCCTGATATCTATAATATGATGTTAAGTGATGCAGCATAAGCAAGTTCTGTTCAGAGTGCAATGCTACTTTGAATCCTTTCCACATACTTTTGACATGTGCATGCATAGTCAGGGGTAGAAATTAGTTTGAAAATGTACACGCCCAGGGCCTGTAGGTAAGGGATTTTACAGGCGCGCCAGGCAAATTACAGGCCCACATCATTCCCTGGATACCGCAGCGTTAAAAAAAAATAAAAGACTGAAATTTGAAATTTTTACAATGGTTTACGTTCGTACGCACAAACAGGCATTTATAGGTACGTCTCCATCATCATCATACATGCGCACGCGTTCACACACACCCACACTGATCATTTATTGTGTGGATCATACATTTTGAATGATAAAGCTAATGTTTGGGACATATAGGGCAGAGAAAAACAACGCTCCATAGGGTCGGTTAGTTGATTTCATGGCAAGAGCAAATAAAAAAGGTTGAGTAATAATATAATGTAAACATCTAAGGAACCAGCCAAATCAGGCAAAGATAGGGTTGAGTTTTTCTTGGCAGACATGAAAGTTGAACACACAAACCCCACCTCACCTCACCTCACCTCACCTACACTCACATCACCTCACACGCACACACACCCATACACTCACCTCATTTTGAGTTTGTGGCTTGCTGGATACGGCATGGACTGCTTTAGTCACAGCTTGCCATGTCTTTTTATTAACTACAGCTGCCAGCAAAACTTGCAAACAGTCCTCTTTCTCTGTCCCACTTCATAAATTATGAAGTCAATTTCTTCTGCGGAAATATTCCTATTCTTCCGCTTCTTTTACAGTTGCCGTGTATATTTTAAATAACTTTGCTCTCACCACAATCTTTGAGAATGTCTCTATAGGAGATGGGTGGCTATTAGGAGACGGTGGCTAGTTCATAAATGCTTGCTTTACAATACCTTACGCGAACCCACGAACTGCAGCAGAGCAACGATATAATAAAGTTCATACTTGGACTAGGTGTGTTGTTGTACGTGCTGCTTTGGGATTTTGAAAAGCCAACATTGATTATCGATCTGATATTTAGGTGACATTGTTCTTTTAATGCCAACATTCTGCCTGATGTGCTAGATGGTGTACAGAATGTTGGGAGACAGGAAGCTATGCAAATGATAAAGCACATCATGGAGAGTTGTTTTACGTAAACCACGTTTGGTCATAACGTAGGGAAGCTTTTAATTAGCTCCACCCTGTATAAAATGTATATAGTTTTTCCAAACGTTAAAAACAATATGACACGGTTAAACCTGAGTGGTGCGACGAGGCTGTACTGCTGTTTGCATGACTAGTAACAAGAGTAAGATAATAACCCATATACTTTATTGTTTACATCCAAACGTGAAATGTGCGGGATGTGCGAATTACTCCACAACCTAGCGCACGAGAACAGTGAGCGTGCCGCATGACCCGTGCACGTAAATAAACCCTGGCCAACACAATGCAGGGTGCGAAATTAACGGGAGTCAAATACTCCCTGATTTACTGTCGGACTCCCTGATTTGACACATGTGAAATGACTCCCTGAAAATTCTGCCATACTAACCAGTTTGTTCCGGAGCACGGCCTCGCGGAATTACCGTATTTTTTTAGCTAATGTCCAAAGATCATTATCATTATAATGTCCAAAGATCATTTTTCAGCTAATGTCCAAAGAAAATTTGGCAGACGTGCAACTGCATGAATCTTAAAAATAAGCACATGCGTTATTGTTTATATTTTTAATTTTGAACGTCAGATTGCGGACTCCCTCATTTTGCTGCGGACTCCCTCTTTTTGAGGGTAGGTCCGTTGGTCTCCCGTGTTCAAAAGTTAATTTCTACCCTTGCAATGTAAGGTTCACTGCCACTGGCCAAAAGTAAGCTCCACCCACTTCTTATCGATTTTTGGTATTCCAACGCTGCTAGCCTGGATTCAAGAACCTGTGCTAACCTGTGCGTCCGAACATCCCACGCACGTTTCTTGAATGCCAACTAAAGTTGTGCGTGAGGTGTTCTAAATTTTCCAAGTGCATACGCATTTCTTCTTGAATCCGGCGCTGAGATCACTAGTGCATGCTGCTAGTTGCATGCTGGGGGTGGATTTTCTACGGGCCCGTCGGGCCTGCTAGTATTAGAAATGCAGGCCCGAGCCTAGTTCTAGTACTATATCCCACGTACAGTTGCCTGCATACTGCACTACAGCATACTGAATACTGTATAGTGCAGGAACTGTACGCGGGCTATAGTACTAGAGCTAGCCCGAGCCTTAAAATACGGGAATCGGGCCCGCGGGCCCGTTAGGATTTCGAACCCTGATAGTGTTACACAAGGAAAATGAAATATAAAAGTTTCAAAAGCTGTCAACGTCTTGCGGTAATCTGGTCGCGAACCAAAATTCACGCATGTAGAAAACTACTGGGAAACTAAGATCAACCAATTATTATTTGTGTTCTACCGCAGACGCGGTGATTAGCGTTCACGACCTTACAGTATTCAACCTGATTACTACTATCAACAAGACACGTGGTGCCTCCGTCTTCACCCTGGACGTACAGGTAAAGCGACAACATCAAATAATGACAAGCAAACATTCAGTAGTGTCACTCACACAGGTATTACATGGCTCCCTGAACGTGTGTGAGAAGTGATGAATACCATATATTAATTCTATAGCTTTCGATGAGTACTGGTAATGTTTATATACCTTTCCAAACACATCTATAAGAGGTGATGATAGGTATGCCTATGAACAGTGCTCGAAATAAGCGTTGTCCGGTTGTCCGAGACAACCAGAATTTGCGCCGGACAACCTAACCAGTCTGAGACATTGCCCGGTGGACAACCAAGAAAAATGTGACGAAAAATGCACTTTATTTATGTTTATCTCAGGGGTTCTCCAAGAGCACTTATAGCCTGGCAGCCCGCCATTAATCTATGGTGTGGGAAAGCAACGCATACCAGCTGCTATTTCCAACACTAGTATATGTCAGGTTTTACCAGCAAGTTCACCCCTACATTTTTGTATTTTTATTCCATTATTATTTTGAATTTTCCGATGGCTTTGCCCATGCAAAACAAACAGTGGGGATTCATGTTGATCCGAAAGTTAAAAAAAAGAGAATTGTCGTAGTCAGAATGAAGGCTGTACATGTACTCAAAAGTGCCGCAAATACTATCTCCCGCGATCTACATTTTCAAAATTTTCTGGGGGAGAACCCCCATACCCCTCGCTTGTTTTTCACCCCCTCCTTGGAATTCTAGATCCGCCACATAACAATTACATATCTTGGGAGCAGAGAACAATGAACAAAAATGTCGCCTTTTCGCATGGCACCCAAAACAAAGATTGCAGAGAAGGTAGAGGAGCCGTAGGCTGTGAGAGGGAGGGGAGGAGGCCATTAAAATATTAAGTCATCCACTATTTTGCGGCAGTTTGTTGTTTTTTGGCCCCCTTTGTTAAAAATCCTGGCTACACCACTGTTTCTTGGTGTTTTCTGACCATATTAATTATGTAATGTGAAAATAGGAGATTTGGGGATATTTTTTGGGACAACCAGAAATTGTTGGCGGACAACCCGATTTGATGCCTGGTTGTCCGCAGGACAACACATTTTTTTTCTTATTTTGAGCACTGATGAAGATATGTCATATTCATTCATCACGGTTAGACTGGCTACTGTTGTACAGTATTTATACATGAGATTACATAGGAATACATTACAAGGTGCTGTGGTATTTATTGTTATGCTTATGAATCTTAGGGCTGTCAATGGTAATCAAATTATTTCGATTCGATGATTGATATATTTTTTTTCGATATTTCGATCCGATTCGATTTAATATGTAATAAAACATGAATATAGCTTTTGATATTGATACAGAGCGCGTGAAAGTACAGTAAACTCATACATAACTTATTTGAGAATACACATTGTATGTATCTACTTATGATAACTATGAATTTTATACATCGCTGTGGCGTAAATGCAACATGGGCGAAGTATTTTTCCTGATATCAGCCAGATTGACCTGGCGTCGCGGCGATGGCGAAGCAGCAGACTTGCTTTTCCGGTAGACAGATTTTTATAGAGATCAGTGAGCAGGATACGCACAGAGACACATAGAACACCACAGTTATTGATTGTCTCTGTATACTTATGATTATGATCATTATGCTTACTGTGTATGCAGAACCAAGTGTCTTGAGTGGCAACATATCCACAACGTTGCGCATGTGTGTTGCCGTGAGAAGAAAATTACCAGCTATTCTACTGGAAGAACAGAATACTCCATGAATTGCAGGTAAAAGGAATGTCTAATTAATTGCGCAACGATGATAAATGTTGATGTTATATTGTTTGTTGTATACGAGTAGTTTAATAAAGTTATGTATCAAAATTTTGTTAGGTAACTCTAGATGCATAAATTCATACTACATGTTTATTATTTAATTTTCAGCGATATTTTATTGTAAAATTGATAAAAACACAGCCTATAAATCAATCTTACATGTTCCTCTATCTAGTATGTTATTTGTGACCAGTATTCCACAAGGTTAGTTTACAGTGTGAGCTATTATCTGTGTATCTCTGTAGAATTTAATCCATCAAAAAAGAGAATGGGGGAGAATGCTAGTGATGCCACAATGTGATATTCAGTAAGCCCACATACTTTGTCCATTTCAGCCTGACTATGGGGGTACTGACGTTGCAAAGTGCATGGTGTGGTGTGGTGACTCGCTGTGTGTCGGTTTTTAAACG